CGCTGCAGCCCCAAGCTGTCCCAAAACAGAGGGCTCAATAGGTAAGGACGTATCCTCATCCTCATCCAGCGGTCTAAGTTCAGTGGTCTTAGGCAGACCTATAAGAAAAAAGAAAAGGTTGGCAGTGTGTAAGTTGGGAGTGTAGTGATAGCTATTCAGGGAAGAATATCACCATGAGAACGGGCCTCCCATTTGCCATTCAAAAGTTTACACCATGCATGCTCGGCGAAGTAAGCTAGTGGCAATGTTGTGTCTTACTACTATTTCGTTTTTCCACAGTGTCGGGTCTATGTACTGTCTATCGTTTTTCTGTTGCATCTACTTTCTCATTTTCATGATGTTATTTTTCCTATGTCTTTTATGGTGGTACTGATATTGTCTCTTTTCGTCTTCTTGAGCCGAGGGTCTTTCGGAACTCTCTACTTCTTCAGGGTAGAGGTAAGATCTGCGTACACACTACCCTCCTCAGACCCCACTAATGGGATTCTATTGGGTCATTGTCGTTGTTGTTGTCTCTGCTTTTTATTTACTCTATTAATATTCTAAGCTAATAGGTTACAATTTTGTTAACTCAAATAATACGGATAAGGTCCACTAATATGCATTAAAGTAGTTGATCACTTTTCTATGTTCCCCATTTTATGCCCTAAATATGGCTTTGCTTACAAACGATTGATATCTCCTCTGTATGATAGTTGCATTAGCACAAGATTAACGCATTATGCCGTATTTGAACTCGTTTGGAAAGACTACTTGAGGCTTAAGTACAATGATAATTCCTACAATTGACATTTCTTTGATTCCTAGGATTAATTAATGCTAAAACAATGATTGTTACTATAATTGAGATGTCTTTGACTCCTAAACATGGTACATCCTATTTGGACCCTTTAATTTGTAGTATATGTTTTACTGTTATATAGGATAATCTTCAAACTCTTTTTGATTCATAAGAAGACTTTGATTTTGTAATTTGTAGAAAAAAAATCCAATTAATTGTGCAGTAGGTGGATTTAGGAAGCAAAATTAGTTCAAATGAGACATGGACGTGGATTCGTGATGTGTGATTGGATTCACATCTGGTGGGGTCCATACATATTGAGCTCTCGACGTCTCAGGGAGGGGTGGACTAGGACGCAATTTGCATATGTCAATGACACGTGGCGACATTATGGAGATGGTCCTCACGTAGAAATCGCCCTGGTTTTTCTGATTTATTTAATCCCCGGATTTTACGCTTTCCGTGCAATCGTGATTTTATGATATTCTTACATTATTATCTTATCTTTTTCCTTGAGCTTTTTTCGTTTGGGACGAATACTTCTGTTAATGTCAAGGTAAATTAAAGATATATTCTTCTCGATCATACATTTATCTTTATTTTTATTTTTTGAGTAGAAGTTTATTCTCTTCGGGGAAGGAAATTCGTTTGCTTTTCAAATAATCTCTGAGGAATATGACACGCTGGTTCATTTACTTACACCTATGGAAAATGAAGCAAATGCAATAAATTTAAAACTGAAATAAAATCCGGGATATAATGTAATAATGGTAAATAATGAAGAAAATCATTTTACTCAAAATTTATTCATATTTAATGCTACTATTGATTCTTTTATCTCGACATTTAAATTTATTGTGGCTCATTTGTTATAAAGTTAAAGCAAGAAATTAATTTCATATGATTAAATAAAACAAAATAGTACATCTCAATGTCAATGTATGAAAAAGTGTCACAGAAGATCCAAAGTGGTCCATTTTTTTTTTCTCTTTAAATGCAAATACTTAACCGGCCTATTCTATATTATCTGAAACTTGAATCTTAAATGAAGTTACACCTTTAGTCTGGTAAATGAATATCAAATTTTAAGTCGCCTTTGAATTCCTGGACTAGAATTATGACAATGCTCTTGATCTTAAGTCTTGACCTTTGATTTGCTGGGGAATAAGGATATGATAAGATGAAAATGCGCTGTCTTGCTCATATTGTCTTAGTTCACATCTGAAAACTAGTAAAACAAGATAACTTTGAGTAATAATTGGCTAAATATAGTATTCAAATATTGTACGTACAAGGTTATCAGAATTATAATTTCCCTGACTAACTGATATAAAGCTGAGCAAGATTTGTTATCTTATGACAAGACAGTAAATATAAACTAAGGTTTTTGTTTCATAACATTGGTTAGTAGTAAGAGGTCAACATGTAATGTGTGGGTTAACCGCACGTAGGAGTGGCAAACGGGCGGGTCAGATCGGATATGGTTCGGATGAAAAAAGGGTAATGAAAAAATAAATAAATTATCCGGGCCGACCCATAATTAATACGGATAAAGAACGGGTTAACCGGCGGATAATATGGGTAACCATATTATCTATGATATCTTGCCTATGATTACTTTTGGGAGAATTCTTAGTCTCTCTAACTTGAGGAACCTCCAATTTGAGACTTTACAAATATAAAAGTTAGACTCATTGCTTAACCATTTTCTAAATGGATAATATGGTTCTTATCCATATTTGACCCGTTTATAAAAAGTTCATTATCCAACCCATTTTTTAGTGGATAATATGGGTGGTTGACTTTTAACTTTTAACCATTTTGGCACCCCTAACCGCATGTAACGAGTTCAAACCCTCTTACCATAGATAAAAACATGATACTATTTAACTAAAGACTGATAGAAGAACAAATTCATTATCAACCGAATTTACTAAATTTAAAATAGGAAAAGGGCTAAGGTACGCATCAGAAGCAGAGGGATAGTTGATAGGGTAATGGCAGTAACGAAAAAAAAAAAGAGGGAAACGGGTTGCATGTTGCCATGGTGCGATTGAAGGAAATATTTGAGTTGTTGAAAATGCAAAGAGAAGACAAATATAGATAATGATGATGATGATACAGTTGGTTGCACTACGGAAACACGAAAAGCCCAAAAGACTAGTAACACAACCCTCATCTGTCAATATCCAAAATCCCCACTCCACTCTCTCTTTTGTCACTCTCACACATAAGGCAAGAAACCAAAACATGCTTTAATTGTAGAAAAAGAAAATACAATACAAAGAAAGAGGGGAAAGCAAGAAAATCTCATGACTTTCATTTTCTTTGTGAAAATTTTGTCTCAGGACTTGTCTCTCTCTTTACTCTGGCCTTTGTCTTCAAAACAAGCATTGTCCACCAGCTGAGACCCCCTTCTGCTACTAATGTTTTTTGTTTCTTTGTTTCTTTCTTTTCAGAGGCATATATAACCCAGGGAACATTTTCTGAGTACAAAAATCATCATTATCTTAACTGTCCTTCGCTGCTACTACCCGTCCTCACTTGTATTAATACATGGACCAGTACTATTATATGCTTTTACACTATATATATATATATATATATATCTGCATCAGAGCTTTGTCTTTTAACCGGTTTTGTTAACTATCTTCTCTGGTCTTATTCCATGACCGCAGCAGCATCCCAGCCACTTTCCTCAGTCAAAGTTGCCAGCCCACTCTGTTTTTTCCCTCTTTTATGTAACCAAATTCGTACAATTACTCAGGAAAAAGAACCTTATGTGCTCAGATAATTATTTAAAAAACAACACCATGACTTTTCCATAAGACAAACTTAGAAGCAAAAACAAAATTAACTCAACAGGAACTAAACAAAAGCCTTTAATTATCAACTACTCCTAAGACGAGAAGATCTCAAATTCGTGTTAGTAATTTGTTATGCTCTGAAAATTATAAAAAGAACAGAAATAACGGTAATAGGCAATCAGCCTCTTCAGATACAGTTAATTATGATAATTGCCAAAAACGAAAAGAGAACCTAACGTCGGTATAAAGTTTTTCATACTAGTGTCTTTAAGACAATAATAATATGGGAAGTGATGTTGATTGATCCATTCCCGTTTTATGTTTACATATATTTTACTCAAACTTAATTAAATGATAACAAACACAATCATTCCGTAATTTTATTATTGACACTCTCTCTTTCTATACCCTTCCAAGGTAGGTGTAAGTGTGCATATATCTGTATTCACACTTGTGATGTTGTTATTGTTGTAACACCAAACTTAGAGGAGGAAAAAAAGCTCCCATGACTTGGTGAAACCAACTATAGCCTATATACCTCTTTTCGTGGCTGTTTTTGCAAAATTTCAAGAAGCTCAAAGTTTAGAATATTTATTAAGGAAATTTAAAATATAATGAAATAAACACACAAAGAAATCAAACACTAATAGTATATACATAAATAATGAAATTTTCTAATAAATGGGTGTAAATATACTCCCTTTTGGATAAGGATAACTCCGCCCCTAGCTCAAAGGATGATATAGCACCAACCAAAGTTGAGGTGTTAGTTAGAACTTGGGAACTTGTTAATGAATTTGCTCTTATTTTTTAATAGTAATACTCTAATGCAAAATAAGTGAACTCACTATTGGTTTATGCAGAACATTATAAGTTTGTCAATATGATTATCTATTTTCTTCCCGTATGTTTTTTTTTTTTTAATCAAAAGTCATTTTGGCAAATGGAGAGAAGCTTGGTTATTAGTCAAAAATCTCACTCTTTTATCTGGGTCCCTGAGTTCTTATTTTTTCTACATTGAGCCTTACGTCAATCGATCCACTTTTATGGAAGAAATTGACTGGAGCTGAGTTGGAGATATGTAGCCTTTAATCTTTTAGTTTAGTTTCACGAGGATTAAGATTAATTTAAGTGGTAGCTGAATTATAAGTGGCATAAAGTTGGTTTACTTTTCCCTGAAAATAATGCTATGATATTAGTAATGGTAGTGCTTTTGGATTAGGATAAATAAAGAATGGAAGAGTTAAACAAAGTTAGCTTTTCCCTGCAGTTATGTACAACCGTTTTGGGACGTGGGATCATGAGAGTTCAGTGGGCAGTATTCCTGCCCTGAAATAAGAAAACAATTCCCATAAAATGTGTGCTCAATTTGCAATGAGATAAAAGGCAGCTGTCGCCATGAGAGGTTGCAATTTAACAAAAGGTAGAAGCTTTTTTAAAATAGGGAACTGCTGTTTTTGTACATGGCTAATTTCAAGTTTCTACCATAATGAAGGACAAGTTAAATTCTACAAAGCCTTAATACCGAATTTACTTAAAAAGTAAAAAACCCCATAAAAATGGTTTGGGTCAACCTAAGCAGGATGATCTTAGTACTAAAATGATCCTCAGCGCATTCCGTTCCTAGCAGAGAAATCCGAGGCTTAGCCATTCAGTTCATGTTATTCCATTGCTTGAGGCCAGGAACCCATTTTGGGCATTTGGGGCTGAAGTAGCTAGACACCACTCTTGAATTCAAAAGCTCAACAATGGGTGCAAATTTGACGCACCGCGGTGTCTTGTACTGGTTTATTGAAGCACCTAAACTAATGGCATAGTCCATAAGCTTGTCAAAAGTACCACTTTCCACAATCTTGATTTCCAATGGGCCAATGGATTTGTCTGATGCACGACCCTGGCGGTAAACGCTGTTAAGGGACTCCTCAATAGTGAGACAACAATCTTCAAAGACTGATGGAGGAACTGGGGTTGAGCCATTGACATTCAGCTCCCAGAATAGGACATAGTGCCCTGGAATTGTGCTTGTATCAGCGTAGCTAGTGTACTCGGTCACATGTGCATCAAATGGCATCAGATGGCTCACTGCATTTTTGACCGCATTTTGTAGCTCTACTTCATCTGTCTTGTCTGAATCAATGCTTAACACCACATTTTTCCGGCAGATAAAGTTGAATTGAGGAGCGTTGTTCTTAAATCCAGCAACCCGAAGCACATCACCCACCCTATACCTGTAGAGTCCTGAAATAGATTTTTTTTTAAAAAAGCCATTAGCAAACATGTCTTAATAAATTGCCAAGAAAACTTAATACAGTATATTTCATTTGAAATTTACCAGCATATGTGGTGACAACAAGCTCGTACTCCTGGCCAATCTTGACATCAACTAAATCGACCAATTCTTGTTGTTCTTTCTCATTAAGTGATTTAGGCATAGAGATTGAATTAGTGACACCATTATTTCTATGAACAGGCAAGAACTCAAAATAACCCATGGTTGGAATAAGTGTGTAAGCAACTTCACTGGGCTTGCAAAGGGGATTAAGGTTGACACCAAAGTAGCATTCCGAGGAAGCATACATGGTGCAGACAAGAGGGAGGCCATTGCTGTAGTAATCAAGAGTGGGTATATATTGTGACATAGTTCCAGTCACAATAACATCAATATACTTAGTATTAGGCCACAACCTAGTGATAATCCCTTGCCATGAATTTTTGCTGCATTCAACCTCAATAAAATCAGCTAACTTATTATCAGGTTTAAGGATTTTCATCACTGCCTCTCTCACTGAAGGATCAGTAATTTGGGAGTTAATGGTTCCAGTTCTAATATCGTGACAAAGAAGAGGCCAGTGCTTCTCCAAGAATCGGATAGCACGGATAAAGCCTGAGGCAAACACAGCCCCAACACGGAGGACATCTTTGTTTTGGCAGAGGCCACAAAGCATTTGGGAATACATACTTTGGTAAGAATCTGAACAGAGAATGGTTTCATTTGGGCTGGTATAGTTTGTGTAAGGGTCAGGACGCCTGTTCTTGAAATGGGGACTCTTGTAATAACTTGTTAATACAGGACGAGCTGGTAATCCCCCTGGTGTCTTAGCCTCAGATTTTATGAACAAAAAGTACATTCCTTTGCCTTTTTCAAGGTCTGGAACAAATTGGCTCATCACAGGCATTAGAAGGCTGTAGAGCTTTGATCTCCTCTCAAGTTCTTCCTCAATGGTTGGCATCAGTTTCCTTTCCCCTCCGGATGTCCCGGAACTGCATATTCAAAATTATCATTTAGCAAACACTAGCTAGAAAATACCAAATACATGCAGTAACGACAAAATCAAGAAAAAGGGAGTTATTCTTTTGAGTTTTAGTACTTTGTACACCTTTATACTATTGAGATAAGGATGCACATTTTTCATCCAAAAAGAAAGAAATGAACAAACCTTGTCAGGAACTCAGAGATGGGTTGAGAGCAGAGGATCGGAGATTTATCACCATTGGCAATACGAGTGATATCAGACTGAATATCCTCGTAGGTGATAACAGGCATGGTTTTCTTGAAGGTGTCTCGGTCAGTATGACCATTAAGATCATGGCGATGCAAGTATTCAACATGGGCATTTTGAGACAGAATTTCGGCAAGAACTCTCTTTTGGACCTCATCGGCGTTGGTTGTCACCTCTTCAATGAACTGAAGAACTTTCTTGTTGTTTTCTGCAACAACACTGTATTCAGCTGATTTTGGTGCCTCAGGCATGGTTCTTGAACAACTGTGTTTCTGAATCACGTCAGTATATAAAGAGAGAGAGAGAGAGAGTATGGGATGGGTGAGAAGAGAGTTTGTTACAAAGGAGAAAGAAATATGATTTTCTGGTGTGGGTGTAGTTCATTGTAGAAGGGGGCTTTATATAGAGGATGTTTGGTTGAAGGTGGCTTGTCGCCTGTGGTCCAATTTCTGTATCGCTTAAAAGTGCAGAGAAACAAATACTGTACCAAAATCTAATTATTTTTTCTTATTTTTTTGGTGGCTGGATAGGATTTGGGGCTAATCCTTGATATATACATGGGCTTTTCTGTCAATTTGCCTCTGAAAAGTTGAAAACATGCTTTTGTGACTAGCAAAGGCATACAACTTTCATGCCTAATATCTGTGGTTACGATAATTGCGACTTAAGACTACTTATTTAAGATTCATCTAATGATGTTTATTGCACCTAATTAAGCTCTCTAATTGTTATTTGTGTAGCCGTTGTTGTTCTTTAATACCCAAACAAGCCATTTTGGATTTTTATTGTACAACTTCCGGACGCCTTATCCGTGTCCCAATTTCAATTGTACGGGTTGAAGATAAACATGTGTTATTACTGTTAAAATTTGGCTTTTATCCCCTCAGTTATAACTTTCCGCACTATTCCTCATTTAGACATAGACCTATTCTTGCCGATACTAAATATATTATATGGCTCTTTCTGTCAATTTGGTTTGTCAAATTATCTTTTCGCGTTGCTGGACAGAAAATGATAATTAAAAAAGAATTTAACTTATATATATGTTGATAAGGTAAAAAGATTTCTATACTCTCATGTCGCATAGAAAGATAAATGCATGTAAATGTACATACTAAAGTAATGAAAAATTCTTTTTACACTATCTACGTATTGAGATGAGAGAGTGTTAGCTATAGAACAAGGGGCTGTCACTTTATCAAAAAGCTTCCCAACATGATAACCCTGCTTATTATTTTAACCTTCAATAAAACAGAAATTTCCTCCCTTTTCTTGCCCCATTTCGCAACGGGTTTATCCGAACTTTCTTCGTACGCATGGGTTTAACCGAACTTTCTTTGTCGAAAACTACATTATATGTATATGTTTAAAATTATTTTTGTTAGTAAACTGTATTTGTAAAATAATTTTAGAGAAAATAAAAGGCGAAATACATAAATAGCCCCTTCAAGTTGTCCACAACGGTCAGTTGAACACTTCAACTGAGCCATGTTTCACTTAAACATATCACGTGTTTAAAAACTGAACTCTATAAACACCAGACCTCACCAGCCCCCGTCGCGTGTATTACACTTACCGGTGTCTTTTATAAGAACGAATTAGAAGCTGACACGTGGAAAAACAATAAGAAATAAAGAATTAGAAACATAAAACATAAAACATAACGTTAAATCTTCATCGTTTCTTCCGTCTAGTCCCTCTCTCTCTCTCTCACCGACTAACCCTTCATCTCTTCGATTAAGCTTGGTTCAATCGGCATTTTTGTTGCAAAATTAAAGATTTTTTTCACTTGCTAAGTATGATTAGTTGTTCTTTGTTCGAATTTTAAGTTGGTTCAAGATTTATCACCTGAAGGAAGGCCATTTTAGGGTTTTGGCAGTGGATCTTTTGTTAAAAGGGGAGTCAGTTGTAAAGGCTTCGATTATTGCATTAAGGTATGTTTATATTTTATTATTGCTTTTTTCTATTTTATCACAACTGGTTTTGTTATGGTGCTATTAGATTAGGGTTTTTTTGTTTTGAAAATCAGAAAATGTCGGGGAATATTGACTGGTTGCGTTTTGTCATTTTCAGTATAAAGTCACATGGACGAATATATTAGTGTTGTTTTTCATCATGGGGGATACTTTATTGATGAAAAGTATGTGGGGGAGGGTGAAGTAATAGGGCATGTGGTGGACAAAGACCATTTCTCTTTGCCCGAGCTTGTGTCCTACATAAAAGAGACCCCTGAAATGCGCTACAACTCTGTTGGTGGGTTATTTGTCCTATGTCCTAAAACTCAGAAGTTCTTTCCAATTGAAAATGACTACCAACTACTAAATTTTATTAAAGACCTGAAGGATGGGGATCGCTTTGATGTCTATGTGAGTCATGCAATAGAAAATTTAGAGGTTGTGGAGGAGGATGTAGTTGTGGGATATTTACCTTCCTCACAAGTTGGTGATAGTGACCAGGCTAAAGAAATTAGGGGTGGTCGAGGGGTTAGTGTAGATGTTGGTGAGAGGGCTGGTGTAAATGTTGATGAGGGTAGGGTATTGGAGTAACAGCTGATGAGGGCAATGGAGTAAATACTGATGAGGGCAATGGAGTAAATACTGATGAGGGCATTGGAGTAAATTGTGAGGAGGGTATTGGAGTAAATGCTGATGAGGATATTGAAGTAAATACTGCTGAGGGCAGTGATGTAAATGCAGAACAACCTAGGTCTACAATTTTAGAAGAGGATATAAATGTTGAAGAGAGTGCAACTGCAGAGCATGACAACCAGTTTAAGGAGACAAATCTTGAAGATGAAGATGCAGATTTTGGTGAAGATGACCTTGAAGACATTCCAGAAGAAGATGACAGTGAGATAGATGATGAGTTAAGATCTGTGAGGGATGCTGCTAGGGAAGTAAAGAGAAACAAGTTGAAGAGCAAGGTGAATGATGCTGGATCACAAAGTAATAGGAAACAGAGGAAAAAACCTGTTTTTACAGAAGAGGTAATACTTGGTGAGGCTGGAATTGATAAGGGGTTTGAAGATATAGGGATAAATAAGAAGGATAAATATGTTGGAAAGCTAGGTGGGGATGAAGAGTATGTGGACAGCTCAGATGTTGGGAGTGTAGACAGTGATGAAGAGTTAGACCCACTTGCTGAACATGGTGTTGATATTCCTCCTAGAAGAAGAAGTCAAAAGATCAGGTATGACTTTGATGCTAAAATTCCTCTGTTTGAGTTGGGCATGATCTTTGATAATGCAACAGAATTTAGGAAAGCTATTGCTGATTATGCTATTCAATATAAAGTGTTTATAAAGCTTAGACCTAATGAGAAAGATAGAGTAAGAGCTAAGTGTAGACATGAAAAATGTAAGTGGCAAATATATGCTAGTAAGGACAGGGATTCAGGGAACTTTACTGTGAAGACCTATATACCTGTCCATAAATGCCCAACAAAGAACAAGAACAAACTTTGCACAACCAAGTACATTGCAAGAAAGCTCCAAGATAGAATCATCTCAAGTCCAAACATCACAGTTCATGAGTTGCAAGAGGTTATAAGGGTTAAATGGGGTTTGTATGTAGGAAGATCACTTGTATATAGAGCCAAGATGAAGGTAATTAGCCAGTTTATGGGTGACTGGAACCTTGAATTTTCTAGGTTGCTGGACTATGCTGACATGATTAAGTCCACCAATCCTGGAAGTTCATGTTGGGTGAGAACTGATACAGAAACAGTTCCTGGGAAACATCTATTTAAATACTTTTATGTATGCTTTGAGGCTATGAAGAAGGGATGGATGGCAGGTTGTAGAAGAATAATAGGTTTTGATGGTTGTTTCCTAAAGGGAGCCTGCAAAGGTGAATTGTTAGTGGCTGTTGGAAAAAATGGAAACAATCAGATGTATCCCATTGCTTGGGCTTTGGTAGATCAAGAGACTACACATTCATGGAGTTGGTTCATCAACTATCTCAAAACTGATTTAGAGTTGAGGAATGGTGAAGATTTAACAGTAATGTCTGACATGCAAAAGGTACTGTAATCCATTTATTATGTTGTTTGTTTCTTACCATTATTATTCTTACTTCTGGATTGTCATCTCACTAACATTCTATGCTGCTGTTGTATTGATTAGGGACTGTCATCTGCTGTTGCTGATTTGCTACCTCTTGCTGAAAGAAGAATGTGTGCAAGACACATTTGGGCAAACTGGCAGAAAACTTGGAGGGGAGAGGAAAGAAGGAAGCAGTTTTGGAGATGTGCTAAGGCTCCATTTCAGGTAAAATTAAGAGAAGAAATGAAGAAATTGGATGAATTAGGTAATGGTATTTGTGAAAGTTTACTGTCCTATGATAAAGAATACTGGTGTAGGGCTTATTTCAATGAGAATGTTAGATGTGATATTGTAGAAACAACATGTGTGAAACATTTAATTCCTGGATATTAAGTCCTAGGCATAAATCTGTCATCACTATGCTTGAAGAAATTAGGCACAAAATGATGAGTAGGCAAGTTGATATGATCAAGTTTGTTGAAATATGGGCTTCTGATATATCACCTATGGCAAGACTAGTTTTAGAGGAGAACAAGAAAATAGGAAGGAAGTTAAAAGTACAGTGGAATGCTGATACTGGATTTGAAGTGAATGAAGGCATGTATAGGCACACTGTTGATATACAAAAAAGAGAATGCAGCTGCAGGTTATGGCAGTTAAGAGGTATACCATGTCAACATGCAATATGTGCCTTTTATAAGATTGGGAAGGAAACAGAAGACTATGTTGAACACTGGTATAGGAAAGATACTTTCCTGGCTGCTTACCAATACTATATTCAGCCAATTCCAAGCATACAAATGTAATTTCTATCTTTATGCTTCTGGATGATTCATTACTGACTATAAGTATTTTCTAGCCTGGTAGGCCAAGTGAAAGAGTTATTTCAACTGGTGCAAACTTGATGAATACTGCACAAACTAATGTAGATCTTGGATTTAGACCAAATGGTCTCAAGTGGAAAGGGAAAAGAGCCGTGACAGGGAATCAACTTCAAAAACAAAGGGATGCTGCGGTTTCTAACAAAAAAAATGAAAGTTGGGACCTCTACTTCATCTACACCAGTTGACTCTTATCAAAGTCAAATTTAGGAAGAATTTTCTTGTATTTTGTTGGTCATGTGTATGAACCATATTTTGTGAAGTATTTTGAACCTACTAATGTTGGTCATTTGGTCATATGTATGAACCATATTTTGTGAAGTATTTTGAACCTACTAATGTTGGTCATTTGGTCGTATGTATGAACCTTGTTTTGTGAAGTATTTTGAACCATTATTATGGCATGTATATGAACCTCCTTTTGTTAGTTTAGTACATTTCAAATTATTGAACCTGCTTTTGTTAGTTTA